ATTATTATGAAAGTTTACGAAAAAGTAATCCGGGATGAATTGCTCAATCGATGTGAACATCTTATTGATCAACGTCAACATGGTTTTATGAGTAGGAAATCATGTACAACTCAGCTAGTAAATTTCTGTGACAGCTTAGCCCTATCTCTCAATGACAATGTTCGCACTGACATAATATACTTTGATTTCCAAAAAGCTTTTGATTCTGTCAACCACGACATAATTCTGTTGAAGCTCAAAGAACAATATAACATTGATGCATCTCTACTGAGATTCTTCAAGTGCTACCTTGAAAACAGATACCAAAGGGTTGTCATTGGAAATAAAATGTCTGCTCCCTGTCAGGTTAGATCAGGTGTCCCCCAGGGCTCAATTTTAGGGCCTACTTTATTTATACTTTTTCTTAATGACATTACAGAGGATTTGTCACCGGAAACAAATATAACCATGTATGCTGATGATACAAAAATATGGCGTAGAATCACGTCCCAGGATGACCATTGGCTGCTCCAGCGGGATATTAACAGTCTTCAAAATTGGGCTCATCATAATAAGATGGTGTTTCACCCTTCAAAAAGTCACGTTCTTTCTATTACCCGAGCATATTCTATGAATCGTAGTGTTAATTTTGTGTACTCAATGAATGAAACGGCTATCGAATACACAGACATTGAAAAAGATCTTGGAGTACATATCAATAGTAAGTTAGATTGGTCACATCACTGTGATATGATATACTCTAAGGCTAGTCAGAGGTTAGGCCTTCTAAAAAGAACATGTTACTTCACCAAGAACACTAAAAAACGTCGGGCCTTCTATCTATCTCAGGTTAGAAGTCATTTCGAACACTGCACAATTGTCTGGCGGCCTCATTCAGAAACCTCGGTGGAGAAACTTGAATCGATACAAAAAAGAGGTATCAAGTGGATCCTTAATGATATTTACTTGAGCCTTAGGGACAAAAAAAGGTATTTCATAGCGTGTAAGGAACTAAATATCCTTCCACTCTCGGTAAGGTTTGATTACAAGGATATATTATATTTTCATAATATTTTTTATGACATGTCAGTTGTGACATTTCCACCTTACTTACGACGTTTCATGGGAAGTAGGTTAAGGCGATCACATCTAGACGATCTCAGTATGATTAGTGACATTTCTCCTCAAGTTCCACAAAACCTTACGTCAAGCCAGACCAGATGTTCAGGCATATCTAAGTCTTACTTTTACAGAGCACACATTCTTTGGAATAAACTCCCTTATGAATTAAGGGAAATCTCAAGGCCATCCGTGTTTAAAACCCATTTAATTAAGTACCTCTGGACAGTTCTAAACGACCATATAACATCCTCTGACAATTTACCTTAATGTAACTATATTGTCTAAATATAAATTGATATGAAGTATAATTAATAAAATATGTTAAATAAAGTGTGTTTATAATTATGATTTATGGTACATTGTTATTTATTATATTTATATTTTAGGCTGTAACCTTATTAGTTCAATGGAATAAACCTAGCATGCCTTGGTTGCAGCATCGCTTCACTTATAGGTGCATTTAGGGCCCGATGTAATTGCTATGATCAGTTTACTGGTCAACTGGTGTTTCGGTGTCCCTTATTTTGTTTACACTCGGTCACTTGTCAAGGCATGTAAGGTCATTCGGCGATATTTTCTTTGAAATAAAATGATGTATTTGTGTAACAATTTGAAAGTTTATTGATAAAAAGGACCATCTCACTCCTTCACAGGGCCGTTACTCTGCAATGTTCGTATTCAGGACCATCTCACTCCCTCACAGGGCCGTTACTCTGCAATGTTCGTATTCAGGACCATCTCACTCCTTCACAGGGCCGTTACTCTGCAATGTTCGTATTCAGGACCATCTCACTCCTTCACAGGGCCGTTACTCTGCAATGTTCGTATTCAGGACCATCTCACTCCTTCACAGGGCCGTTACTCTGCAATGTTCGTATTCAGGACCATCTCACTCCCTCACAGGGCCGTTACTCTGCAATGTTCGTATTCAGGACCATCTCACTCCTTCACAGGGCCGTTACTCTGCAATGTTCGTATTCAGGACCATCTCACTCCCTCACATGGCCGTTACTCTGCAATGTTCGTATTCAGGACCATCTCACTCCTTCACATGGCCGTTACTCTGCAATGTTCGTATTCAGGACCATCTCACTCCCTCACAGGGCCGTTACTCTGCAATGTTCGTATTCAGGACCATCTCACTCCTTCACAGGGCCGTTACTCTGCAATGTTCGTATTCAGGACCATCTCACTCCTTCACAGGGCCGTTACTCTGCAATGTTCGTATTCAGGACCATCTCACTCCTTCACAGGGCCGTTACTCTGCAATGTTCGTATTCAGGACCATCTCACTCCTTCACATGGCCGTTACTCTGCTATGTTCGTATTCAGGACCATCTCACTCTTTCACATGGCCGTTACTCTGCAATGTTCGTATTCAGGACCATCTCACTCCTTCACAGGGCCGTTACTCTGCAATGTTCGTATTCAGGACCATCTCACTCCCTCACAGGGCCGTTACTCTGCAATGTTCGTATTCAGGACCATCTCACTCCTTCACAGGGCCGTTACTCTGCAATGTTCGTATTCAGGACCATCTCACTCCTTCACAGGGCCGTTACTCTGCAATGTTCGTATTCAGGACCATCTCACTCCTTCACAGGGCCGTTACTCTGCAATGTTCGTATTCAGGACCATCTCACTCCCTCACAGGGCCGTTACTCTGCTATGTTCGTATTCAGGACCATCTGATTCCTCTACAAAACCACCTGAACAATGAACATGCATAATAATTACTACGCCCACGTGTCATATTACACGTTTTAAATATTAGTCTTCACCACAGAGCACAGTGGACCTCTACTTCACCGCTACTTCACATCTACTTGACATCTACTTCACCGCTACTTGAAATCTACTTCACATCTACTTGACATCTACTTGACATCTACTTGACATCTACTTCACATCTACTTGACATCTACTTCACCGCTACTTGAAATCTACTTCACCGCTACTTGAAATCTACTTCACCGCTACTTGAAATCTACTTGAAATCTACTTGACATCTACTTCACGTACATTAGCAGAGTGCTAGGAGCTGCTGTGTGAGACACCACTACTGATATTGACGGTATACAGCCCTACTGGCAGATCCATGATGGAGAGAGAGAGAGCAATAATAATCAGTGTGTCGCCCTGTAGAGTCATTACTTGTAGCCCAGTGGTTGTCTCTAACTTCAGTACCTACCTATATATGCTGATATACTGTGATAGCTTCATTATAGGGGTTGTAATCTTGTGATTCACTACTTGGCTGGGTGAGGATTGTGGTGGTTGTTGTTATTCACATGTTGCCTGATATAACGGGTAATGAATGTACGTTTCCGGTAGTTGTGTTGTGTTTGGTTAAATATTCATTATTGTCAGCTGGTGTTTTTGAGATATCTTTAATTTATGGACGTTATAAACCATACTTACAAAATAATTGCTTTATCTTTTTTTACTAGGCGTCTAGGCTTTTATTCTTTTTCACGACCTTCCATATATACCTTATCGGACTTTATTTGAACGGACATTGATTGGACGCTGGAGACCTTAACGTTCATTTTAGTGTCCGTTCAAATAAAGCCCGTTCACACAATGTCCAGTGACCGGTCTAATAACGTCCAATAACGTCCAATAACAGATAAGGTAACTTCTTTCTTGACCTGCCATTTCCTGGTTCGTGTTTTACAAATTCCTGTCATACTGTTTTGAGTATCGAGCTTGAGTTGTTGTATACATAATGGTTCAGACTTCAGTGAACACTGAACTCGAGTGACGCTAGAATGAGTTGGTATAATTAACTGATAAATCAAAGAACTATTTCCATGTTGAGTCTTTGAATTATGAATCATCAAAAAATATTCAACAATCAAGGAAAATGTAAGCACAGAGAACGAACAATTATACAATATTTTGAATTGCACTACGTTGCCATTTGCAGAAGCCGTCTTCAGAAATTAGTAAATACATAATTTTGAAGTATCGTCTTACCACTGTGGTCTTATGATTATATTATAATGACAACTGGTTAAATTTGCGGAAATTAGATTTAAGAAAGGCGTATCTACTTTGAGAAACAACAAAAACACTCCTGTCATAATTTATTATTTCAACGCAGAACACCATTGTAATTAAAAAAAATTGCTAGGATAAATTGCAGCAGATGTGAGAATTTTCCTGTGAAATAAATTAAAACACATAATAGTACATCTTATCAAGACACTCTTTCTAAAAGCGAATAATTAATTTACACTGCTGGTTCACTGTGTATGGCAAACGAAACAAATTAAAGTTAATCCAGTATTCCAGCAACTGCTTTATTATTTGTGTAGTTTGTAGCTTTGTCCGTGGTTGTGTTCTCAGTATCTTAGTAGTGTTGTGGTCTGAGTAACTCGATAAAATGGTTTTGCAGATACTATACAAAGTTATTGATATGAGTGAATGTAAGTTATTACAGGCTCTAATAATGTAGTTTTACGAAGATTTCAAGCCTTACGTTGTGTGTTTCCCTTCGTGTCCAAAAGCATTATATATGTAAGTTATCCTATCCTTCGTGACTGATTCCATCGCTGGAATTTTCATTTATATTAACGGTCAACCTTTCCATGTTTAAACAAGACATACATTTGTAACGATTGATCTGTATAACTATAAACAGATCAATCGTATCTGAAACATATTATACAACTAACTACAACGCTTCATTAGTGATAGCGACACACAAACTTATCACACCAGTCATGTTACCGTGTTTAACTTGAAGAAATGGATAATGAAAATTTGAATATGGACGATTTCTAACAAAGCTTTGCCCAATTCAGCAGCAGTAATTATACTCCTTTACAATATTACTCCTTTACAATAATACTCCTTTATAATATTATCTTGCGTCTAAGACTGTCTCTCTTCAGGTGGTATGATGGGAGAGGTGAAACTGTCAGAAGCTGAACTGGCCGAGTTAAAAGATATATTCGCCATGTTTGATAAGGATAATAGTGGAAGTATTGATGTTAATGAGCTGGAAAGCATGGTTTCATCACTAGGTGGGTTTTAAGAACTTTTACTTTTACTTTTACTTTTACTTTTACTTTTACTTTTACTTTTACTTTTACTTATTTCCTTTGAGTTAACAGTTTTTTTCCATAATTGCTTTTGTCTGGTTATATTTGATACAAGCGTAGATATTTACAGTTCGTAGCAATATTGATTTATAATAAGTGTAACTCTGACTGAATATTTAATGAGTCCCTTGGACTTGGAATGAAGTACCGACTATGATTTTATTAATCTGCAGATTAAAAGTTAATAGTTGGTATTTACCAAACCATAACAGTGCATGACCTACACCACGGACCCCTTCTAACTGGCCAATCCCTGTTTACATGCCGTGTAGCAGGGGACCACATAGAGCCAAACTAGTAAGCGGAGTGCTGCCAATACAACGTACTTCATCTTTGTATATACAACAAAAAGGAAAATTTCCTTGTGTTCGGAATCAACCAAGACGAAAGCTGTGCAATTCAGCAAAATTCCGAAGAATCTAGAATCATACTAGTATGTACTAGTATTTACCAGTATGTACCAGTATATTAGCGACAAGAGAAACGCCATTGTCGGGCGTGAGGAGTGTGAGGACTTTTCAAACTATATCAAATATATTCCTTCTGTAACGTCCTCAATATCATACCAGTATATACCAGTATTTACCAGTATATACCAGTATAAACTGCTAATTAAATATCGAAAATATACCTGATAACATGAACATTCAGGAATCACCGCAACTAAAGAAGACCTAAACGATATGATCGCAGAAGCAGACATCGATAAGTCTGGAACGATAGAATTTGATGGTAGGTTAATCGCTAAATCGGAATCGGCCTGACCTTTTTGTATTAGCAGCAATTAATGGTTGTCGTGATTTTTTTAAAATTTTTATTAAATACTTTTCAAATTTTACAGAGTACAGCAATAGATGAATATAAAATAGAATCGTTCAAAATATCGCCCCCATCTGTAAAATATGATGGGCACCCAAACACGGTAAACACATAGTGAACTATGTCCGCAGTAACTTGGACCCATTACATCGAATTAATCTAAATCCAAAAATTTATAAAAAACTATTTAATAACAAACAAATCCATGGTGAATAACTGTGGATATAGAGTCAAAATTGGTATTTCATACGATGAAAAATTCCTGGAAATATTTTATTCTTAAATGTATTTCAGAGTTTAAAACGTTGATAGGGCCCCACTTTCAAAAGGAAAAGCCACCAGAGGATTATATTGATGCTTTTAACTTCTTTGATAAGGATGGGGATGGCTTCATATCAAGGTAAAATCCATTTTTTGAGTATATTTCATTGTTTTAAATTTATTTTCTCGCTATTTTATTCAAATCCTTGTATGTATTTGATAAATACCGTCGATATTCGCGACAATTTGGAAGGTTATAATACAAATTCCTAAAAGAACCACTCTTTTTCGTCGTGCAGGATGATTAAAAACTGTAAACAGTCTTATTCTATCCTTCCAACACTTCATCTTGTCACGATTAAGTTTAAGACCGTCCAAATTATCTCTAATAAGTAATCGAATACCGTGGAGGTTGAGATTTGGAATGTATTGATCAATATGATCTGTAATGAGTTACGCCTGATAACCCACTCCATTATTGTTAAAACACAACACCTACACGTATATCTCACATCACTCGCAGATTCGCCATGTTAAAATAGGACTGATCAGCGATCACTAATCAATCTCTGAAAACCCGATATATTATGACATTCGACAGTTCCTGCAATTACCCACAAATTTCATTGCTATATTTTCTGTATTTATTACTTTATTAATCTTATTAATAAGCACAAGTTTAACATTGCTTCTAATTTTCTTTTTTTTTGGGAATAATTGGAAATGAAATGATCAAAAATTCTGTAGTAGTTTGAATGATGTGATGATCTTTACATCTTTTTAAGCATATCTTTTACACCGATTTTGTCTAGCATAATATAAACGTATTGCTTAGGCGATTAGATAGTGTTCGTGCTATATCGAGCCAATTAACTGTTTAATTATTAATTTAATAATAATTAAATTAATTGATTAAATTAAGTGTCCTCACTTTTATATTCCTCACTCAGGACAGAATTACGAACCATTATGAACACGGTGGATTCAAAACTGGCTGAATCCGACATTGAAGACATGATCAAAGAAGCGGACCAAAATGGAGATGGTAAAATAGATTTTGATGAGTTCATCAAAATGATGCATCAGCAGTAGTTCCCTAGCTTCAATAGGACATTGAACATTTGAATGTCTTATTTCTTGGGTTGTTAGCCGCTGGAAACCCGGAGGAGCATTTGTCCGACTAGGTTATCACATAAGAAACGTCAAAATAGCTTCTGACAACTTCACACTGAAGCATATCGAGGATTTGAATTGCAGACCGATTCAAATATTCATTATTCACCAGCTGGTACAACACAGATAAACATTATCGGGTGATACTCGTAAAATATTAGTTCGTCGACGAGTCCAAACCGGCGCGCGTCTTGGTACTGGTACTGGTAGATTATAAACCTACAAAGATAAACAAGGATACTTTAAATAAAATGACCGTGGGGTAAGAGTTTTAGCAATAGTAATTGTATAGGAGACTGCCTTCCGCCGAATCAAACTTTGTTTCATCTGATCTGATAATGATAATGATATTAAGTTGGAATGACAGCTTTTGCTTTTGGCTGGTGAAAATAATTTTTTGATTTTTGGAAGTTAGTGTCTTAATGATGTTTGAAAATAATTTATGTATAAACAAGTAAAATGATTTTCGTCATGGTTGAAACTTTTACCCCTAGCAAGAAAAATTGAATGTTTACCAAACCATAGCATTCTTCAAAGTTTAACGGTTCAAACAATGCGATTTATCTGCCGCCATGTTATTGTTAGTTCATAATCTAATGTTAATATTTTATGCTTGTTTGTATTTATTTTTACCAATTGAAATCATTTACTAGATCTATTTTATTTCTTTCTAATCATTATTCGTGATTTTATAATTAACAAAACCACAAATATTTGAAAATTTTCTGTACAGCCAAAATATGTATATGGCAATAAATTCCGCTCTAGATTTATCCGTTAACAATCCGTCTAACTCAAAGTCAATGTCCGTTCAAATTTGTGCGGTTGCTGAATTAGAATAGTTAGGGGGTGCACCATAAAAATAAACTTGCTCGGATTTTAAAAATTTGTGTACCATTGTTTTCTACTTCTAGAGACTGTGAGAATTTTCACAATACCAAATTTGTCATACCTTTTTGGAAAGATCAGTGAGTTTCGCCTAGGTGCCATATTTGATGGTGCGCGGCTTTTGGAGCAAAATTAGCTGTAAAAGTCGCGTAATTTGACCAAATTTGACCAAATTCGTTGATTTTTGTCGTATTATTTGAATATGTCTTCAGTTCCTTGAATGAGATCATTCTGAAAATTGACGACGACCTTCCAATAGGGCTTTTACAACTGTCCGAAAAATTTGGTGGATATCAGAGTTGATATAATGATCAAAATGGGGCAAAATACGCTGCTTTTAGCTGTAACATAATGTCTGATGGTTGGATATGCTTTAAATTTTTCGGACACTTTCCTTGTAAGTCTATGAGTAAGCTCACCAATTTTTGTTGCAATCGGAGGTCGGGAACGATACTCAATATCTATTTGTTTGAAGAAAATTGTGCTGGCCGAAATTAGCGCTAAAAAACCATCCTACAGTCGGCACGCGCGGCTCACTGTCGATGGCGCACTACCTAGAATAGTGAATACCTGAATTTTTAATGATGATCAATCACTCTACGCTCAACTGCCACTTGACTTTTCTAACACGTTCTATAGGTGGCCCTAAATGATTATTCGAAACCCGCACTGTCACCAAGATGTAATCAGATCGAACGCAAAAATTAGATCGAACCGGTTTGATCTAGGAATTAGATCGAACGCTCGCGCGAGATACATATACAAATACATTGAACGCCGCGCCGCGCGTTCGATCTAATTCCTAGATCGAACCGGTTAGATCTAATTTCTGCGTTCGATCTAATTACATCTTGGTGACAGTAACCCTCTACATAACACAGACACACTCTACAGCAGGGACAAAAGGAAATCGCGGCATGTACGGCATCGCGATTTTTCCCATTATTTGCGACAAATTTGATTTATAGTTTAATGTATATTGTATAGTCTGTTAAAAATCGCGGTATCGCGAATTTTGACAAAAATAATCGCGAAATCCTTTGTCCAGCTGCTCTACAGACACCTTCTACAGCTACTTCACAGACACTGACCCTACATGCTACAGACACAGTGGCATAACCTTTGAAAATTGGACAAATTAGGTGATTTTAGAGGATACGACGGTAATATTTGTATCACGTGGTGACCCCCACGGTCGCTTCACCCCTGTAGAGTTTCGACGCGACGATACAGGGGGAGCCGCGCACTCGTGCGCGGTTGACCATTGTTAATGATCTGGCCCGGCGCGCGCTACTTCGTAGCACTTGCCATCGGGCACATTTCGAGAAGAAAGCGGCGCGCGCTACTTCGAAGAAATTTAGACGAGTAACATCCGTCAAGTGCGCGGCGGGTCATACAACGTATGACAAGGTAATATTGAAAAAGTGTGTTTTATATCATACGAGGTTTCAATACAACTCCATTTGCAATCAGCTACAATTATAGTGTTACCTGAGTCATTTTTTGGTAATTTTTCCGTTGCCGGGGGGATTTCGTCAAGTTTAAAATATAATATAGACTAGAAAACCCGTGGTTACAGCTAGGGAGGAATTGTCGTACGTTGTATGACCCGCCGCGCACGAGTGCGCGGCTCCCCCTGTATCGTCGAAACTCTACAGTGAAGCGACAGTGGGGGTCACCATGCACGTGATACAAGGGAGGAAGTATTTTGTTGTTAGTAAGTTTAAATCGAGTCAAAATTATCATACACAACCGAAAATTAAAATGTTGCTCGCACTAAACACAACGTAATATCAACAAAACCAATAAAAATGCCGTTTTAACAATCTTTGCACGTGCACGTGTGAGTCGTGACGTGCGTGTAACAACCCTCGTTACCAATACCATGGTTATACTTTGTAACCACTTATTTCTCGTATAATTTGCACGTGGGCGGTCGTACGTACAAAGATTGTAGTGATGTACAGAGGGAGTAGTAGTATGTAAGTTGTGAAGGCCCGCCATCAAGTGGCACCCAGCCACTCACAGCACGCCCCCAGGTCACGTGACAGCACGTCACGTGACAGATCACATGTCATGTAACCACGTGACAAGCTCGTCAATCAAATGTCAAGGTCACGTGACAAGATAATTGACCAATGAGGAGCCAGAACGTCATGACGAATCAATCAATAATCCCGACTAAAGGATCTAAAGTCTGATTAAACGGTTGCCAAGCAGGTTCCTGTCACTTGATTACCGGTCACGTGTTTAGCTTAAGCATCATGTGACATGAATGTTATTTGAACCTCGAGATCACATGACAGGAGTCACTTGATTACCCGTCAGAACGTCATGATGAATGAATCAATAATCCTGTCTAAAGGATCTAAAGTCTGATTAAACGGTTACCAAGCAGGCTCCTGTCACTTGATTACCGGTCAAATGATTCTTCACGATTTACCCCGGTCCAGTCACCACTCCAAATAAACAGAGGGTGACATAACGAAATGTGGTGTAGGGTTACCATCGCTCGACCTCCTGGAAATTACAAGTCTTATCATCAATTTTCTGACATTTAAGCAATAGCTACAGTATCTGAACCACATTTTCACCCTTTAAGATATAACAACTGTTAGGTAGCCTAGTGGTTAGAGCATTCGCCTTCTGCACAAAAGGTTCAGGGCGAATCGAACCCCATTGTCACCCTGCAGTCTAGGGGGTAGCAAAGGCTCCATACCATTGACTATTATTAACTACTAAATTTGCGTGTTATAAATTTGGTGAATTTCAAGAGACGAATAAAACTACCGTTTAATTGATATTTTTTTTGTTATCACCATAATCATAAATTGAAATCATCAAGAGTAAGATTGGGTACATAAATCATTGTATAACAGTTGCAAGTTCCACCAACTACTTATTCAGATAAAGTTTGAGAATCTTATCGACAATAGTTGTGTTTTCGTTCATCAGTTTGTTTACATCAGATAGACTTGTAGTGTTGATAACTGCATCCAATAGAGCTCGTTCTTCCAAACTTAAAATACCTGTTATGTCTTTTCCGTTGTCAATGAAACGCTGCTACAATGGTACAAAAAATTTTGAAATCCGAGCAAGTTTATTTTTATGGTGCACCTCCTATTTCTAGAGACTGTGAGAATTTTCACAATACCAAATTTGTCATACCTTTTTGGAAAGATCAGTGAGTTTCGCCTAGGTGCCATATTTGATGGTGCGCGGCTTTTGGAGCAAAATTAGCTGTAAAAGTCGCGTAATTTGACCAAATTTGACCAAATTCGTTGATTTTTGTCGTATTATTTGAATATGTCTTCAGTTCCTTGAATGAGATCATTCTGAAAATTGACGACGACCTTCCAATAGGGCTTTTACAACTGTCCGAAAAATTTGGTGGATATCAGAGTTGATATAATGATCAAAATGGGGCAAAATACGCTGCTTTTAGCTGTAACATAATGTCTGATGGTTGGATATGCTTTAAATTTTTCGGACACTTTCCTTGTAAGTCTATGAGTAAGCTCACCAATTTTTGTTGCAATCGGAGGTCGGGAACGATACTCAATATCTATTTGTTTGAAGAAAATTGTGCTGGCCGAAATTAGCGCTAAAAAACCATCCTACAGTCGGCACGCGCGGCTCACTGTCGATGGCGCACTACCTAGAATAGTGAATACCTGAATTTTTAATGATGATCAATCACTCTACGCTCAACTGCCACTTGACTTTTCTAACACGTTCTATAGGTGGCCCTAAATGATTATTCGAAACCCGCACTGTCACCAAGATGTAATCAGATCGAACGCAAAAATTAGATCGAACCGGTTTGATCTAGGAATTAGATCGAACGCTCGCGCGAGATACATATACAAATACATTGAACGCCGCGCCGCGCGTTCGATCTAATTCCTAGATCGAACCGGTTAGATCTAATTTCTGCGTTCGATCTAATTACATCTTGGTGACAGTAACCCTCTACATAACACAGACACACTCTACAGCAGGGACAAAAGGAAATCGCGGCATGTACGGCATCGCGATTTTTCCCATTATTTGCGACAAATTTGATTTATAGTTTAATGTATATTGTATAGTCTGTTAAAAATCGCGGTATCGCGAATTTTGACAAAAATAATCGCGAAATCCTTTGTCCAGCTGCTCTACAGACACCTTCTACAGCTACTTCACAGACACTGACCCTACATGCTACAGACACAGTGGCATAACCTTTGAAAATTGGACAAATTAGGTGATTTTAGAGGATACGACGGTAATATTTGTATCACGTGGTGACCCCCACGGTCGCTTCACCCCTGTAGAGTTTCGACGCGACGATACAGGGGGAGCCGCGCACTCGTGCGCGGTTGACCATTGTTAATGATCTGGCCCGGCGCGCGCTACTTCGTAGCACTTGCCATCGGGCACATTTCGAGAAGAAAGCGGCGCGCGCTACTTCGAAGAAATTTAGACGAGTAACATCCGTCAAGTGCGCGGCGGGTCATACAACGTATGACAAGGTAATATTGAAAAAGTGTGTTTTATATCATACGAGGTTTCAATACAACTCCATTTGCAATCAGCTACAATTATAGTGTTACCTGAGTCATTTTTTGGTAATTTTTCCGTTGCCGGGGGGATTTCGTCAAGTTTAAAATATAATATAGACTAGAAAACCCGTGGTTACAGCTAGGGAGGAATTGTCGTACGTTGTATGACCCGCCGCGCACGAGTGCGCGGCTCCCCCTGTATCGTCGAAACTCTACAGTG